TAGATCAGTCTCTAGTGGGAACCACAAATGTGCTGGGAATAGTGGGATAGAATTTTGCAACATTAAGAAAAATCAAACAGATTTTATTTCACAAATGTCTATCATCTAAATGTAGGTGTGATACAGAGCATTCTCTGAAAGATTTCTATGCATTCAAAAGTAAAGTCCATGATGTTCAGGACTGAAACACTCAGGAAAGCCTGATACCTTAATTTCTCTTCCAATAAGCCTGAAGGACGATGCTTAGGAAGCCAACTGGTGTTTATGTATCAGGATATAGAGGAATTAGATATATTTATAGTAGGACTAATAGGGGATAACACAAGTATTATGTCAGCAATATTCCAGATTTTGCAAAATACCCTGAACAAAACTGTGCAACATTCCTAATATTAGCTCTCACTCAAAACTTTATCCCACAAGGAGGAAAAACTGGGGGAATAATCATCTTGCTATGACATTCTGTGGCATTACATCTTGAAAGAAGATGGAAAATTTACACACCCCAATGACACAGGATCTCCTTTTTTTTTTTTTTTGGTCAAACCTTGCACTTCATTTCTCATCACATGGGAGGGTTTTGTCTCCTCCCCTTCCATCCTCCATGGAATGCCCACATCTCAGGGGTGTTTTTATTTTATTTTAAAAGTGCAATTGCAAAATTTCAAAAGTTCAAAATTACGAGTTACAACAACAAAAAATAAATAAAAGGTAAAGATAGATAGCTGAAGATTAATGGTGGCAGAAGCAGCACTTGAAAAGACGGGTCATGCACATCACACTGAAATACAGACTGAAAACAGGCAAATGAACCATTTCCCATCTCATTGAAAAATACCCATTTCTAAGTGCAAGGAAATGACTGGAGTCTTTCAAAACCTGACTTGCAACCGTCATGCAGAGGACCTTTAAACCACTTGCCGCAAGACTGGAAAGATCTGCTGAAAGAGATCCGACAACTAAACGAGATATCAGAATTGAAGATTTAGCTGAAGACCCATCTCTTCCGGCAGGCCAACCCAGTCAACTTTAAATCATGATTTTTGGATTACATTCTATTGCTGCTATATGGTGATCTTTGTACTCTGTGTTTAGTGAATATGTTTGTTTGCTTTTTATATAATAGTGTGTTTTGATATATGTATCCATTTATATTGATATGTTTTGACTTTATTGTACCCTGTCTCAAGCCATCAGGAAAGGCACGTAACAAATAAAATGTATGAATAGTGGTAGTAGTATCATCATCAACATCATCAACATCAACATCAAAGATTTATTATGCTATCTGAATTGGAAATAACTCTGATCAGGTCACAAATAAGAATCAAACAATTATTTAATAAAGACTTGCAAACAGCGCTTGTGGCTATTCTGACCAGATGTGATGGTGGATCTAACACGGGCACGGGCAAACTTCAGCCCTCCAGATGTTTTGTACTTCAACTCCCACAATTCCTAAGAGGCAATAAAATGATTGGGATTTCTGGGAGTTGAAGTCTAAAACACCAGGAAGGCTGAAGTTTGCCCATGTCTGATCTAATAGGACCATTGCTGTCCCTCTGAAAGCCAATGTACCTAAGAAAAGGCATGCAGAGCAAGGAGAGAACAAAAACCAGAATTCTGTCCTGAAACATAATTTCTCCAAATATTGAAGCTGTAGCTATGTTTTTAAAACTAAGATTAACAGAAGCCTTAGCTTGGTATGCTTAAGTCAACACACAAATACAATCATCCAGGTTTTTATATAAATTAGGAGATTATCTAGCTCTAAGCGCAGATTGTCTGGGCACAATGCAAAATACTAATCTCAAGCTCCTGTATTTAGAGAAGTTAAGTGTATTTTTTCCATATTAGCATCATCTTCTCATTCTTCAAATGAGGTCTTGGTTGAGCTTTGATCTATTGAAAATTCATCAGTGGTAACAACAGCCATGAATTTAGGGTTGTGTCTCCGTCTATGTTGGACTCCCTTCACTCACAGTCTTTGGAACAGTGTGAAGATGTTTGAAACTGCTTCCTCTCCTGACATATGTTATGTGTATATGTGTTTATAACTTGTATTCTGAAGGCTGTACAACTATTGCTATATTTGTATTGCTCTTTTATCAAATTAAGTCTCCTGTAAGATATCTGGACCTAAAAGACAGAAGGAAATATTAATGAAGGAGTAGGGTTCTCTGTAACACTCTTCAAGAATAAAAATTATGTGAGATTCTAGACAGGATAATACTATACACTTCCAAACTCACTGCTTATACTGCTTGCATTCCAAGCTTTTACTTGTCATTCTTCCTCAGCTATGTGTCAGAAAGGCCCCAGAAAACTGTCAAAGAATTTCCATGAAGACCTGTCAATAGCAGCGGTCTAAAAAAATGTTTCCTTTGCATGCACATTAGCCCTTTCCTGGAAATGCTTGTGGTCTCAATCTGTACTTCTGATTGAACAAATCATTTTTCTTGCTCCAAACCTGTCATCTTTCCTACAAAGGCCTGAAGGTTTAACTTCTATGATGAAGAATAAGAATAAACACACATTTAGCCCATTATCATTACAAGCAATGCTAGAAAACTGGACCACTTCTACAGCTCTGTATAACAGCTTTATAAATAGTTCACCAGGAGGTAGTTGTCCATTTCCTTTCTCTGCCCCGTGGAGAAGTTGACACTGGAACTTTTGTTAGCTTGGGCACCACTTTTCATATCACTCAAGGGTCACAAATCCAAAGCAATGGAGCCTGAGGGAAGCAAGAACCCTACACAACTTTTAAGGGAGGAAATATATAAACAGCATTTACCCATTCATAATGAAAATTCTCATTATATACAACCACATCAAAAACAAACCACTAGCATTTCTTGTTGCTGCAGAAATGCTGGCAACAAGCCAAACAATAGTTTGCTGCTCAGCTGTCTGCCCAAGATGGCAATACATTGAGGAAAGCATATAGCTAATTTAAATGGCTCCAACTATTTAGTAATCAGTATGCAAAACACCAAAGTCCAATAGTCATGTTAGAAAAGTTTGGTTAATTAGTCTCAAAAAAATAATTTCCCACATTTCACATATGCAACATTGCTAAGCAAACTGCTTGACTGCTTAGATTATTATCACAACATTTATTAACTTCATGTTCAGCTAGTAAATGCAGCAGAAAAAAAAAACCATGGTAAAAAGGTGGGGCATGGGAATTTGAGGTGTACACACACACACACATACACATTTTGGAACAATTCCCAAGATCACTTATACAAAGTTCAATAGAGTTCTATATCCTGTCCTTGATGCCTTCTCTCATTCTTCTAAGTGTTAACAAAAGTTTTGTAAGACAAATAACTAAATTTCTACACTAAATATGAAACAGCACATCAATCACTTAAAGAATGTGTTTAATGTACAATGCCCCTTGTAACATTTTTTTATCAAACCTCGGACCAATTCGATTAGTTCAGCTGCCGGAGTGGTTTTAGCTTGATAAGCCTTGAGAGAGTGAGCATTCGAACAAATAAAGTTTCAAGCCAGTTTGTTCCTTCTTTTAAACACAAGCCCTGTACTACAAACATTAACCATGCCTGAAATAGGAGTTTGATCTCTGTGTTAAGCCATACTGCTTAGGTATCCTGGGATAATTTTGAACTCCACTCTCCCCTTACAAATAAGGAATGTTGATTTATCTTTGTGGACAAAGCATTGCTTGTGCCATAATCCTTCCCCTTTTGGCAGTCAACACTACATCCTTTTAGACTTTGGCTTATGTTTGTTGGCATATCTTGAGCCAAAATCCTACATGCTCTTCTGGTCTTCAGTTACAAGCTTAAAATCATATTTTTCTAATTACATGATACAACAGGCCATTACATAACAGTAAATACTAAATTATAAATGAGCCTTGCATGTTTGGTGTAACGTGAATGACATTCAAGGAGAGAAAAAAGCAGGAAACTAATTCAACCACAACCTCTTTTGCTTGCCATCCACACAGAATTCCCATTTGTGTTTATGGCACACAAGTAGTGTGATAGTTCAGAAATAAAAATCATAGCTTGTTGGGTTGGAATAAACTGGCTTGCTACAAAGAAGTTACAGAAATTATGTCAGGGAGCTGAAGACAATTACTCAAAGTTCTTGAGTATTTTGCATTGCATCTAAAGAAATGCTAAACAGGGAATCAATCAATAGGATCACTTGATCACCAAACCTACAGTTAAGGATAAGGAAAGCAAAAAAGTAGTAACGTTTTCTCTATTACTATTGACTAGAGTAGTGGTTCTCAACCTCTAGGTCCCCAGATGTTTTGACCTTCAACTCATAGAAACCCTAACAGCTGGCAAATTGACTGAGATTTCTGGGAATTGTAGGTCAAAACACCTGGGGACCCACAAGTTGAGAACCACTGGTCTAGAGCATTGGTCTGATCCCCCTGTCACCAAACTACTCATTTGGTCTTTTGTCTCAGAGTGAATTATACATATACTGGGTATCTCAAAATGTATACACTTTTAACAGCTAATAGTACCTATATCGATTATTTGAAGGGTAAGTAAATACAGTTACATTAAAGAATAAATGTTATAATAAGGGTCACAGATTCCATCTTAAATTACTATGTTATATAAGGTGCTCAAATTGTCGTCCATACATATTAATGAACTGCTCTAATTGTTGAAACAGAGTTGAAAACTTCATTTAAAGTGTTGTAACATTTCTCTTGTAATTTTGCAACACTCCTCTACTACTAGAATCTTTAATCGTGTTAAGGGATATATGAATGGAGGGGATTGTCACAAAAATGTTTACAATTATAATCTGTTAAGGGTTGCTCCATCTTGTTATCGACATAAAAAAGAGCTTGAAAATCAAGAACTGGCTTTGTGGAAGCAGCAACACTGCAGTGACCATTTGGCCATGTAAATTACGAAAAGAAAGTAATGTTTTATGCAAGTTCCATCTGTTAGGGTTAACATGCAATTCTACTGATGGTATTCAGATGCTTAACTTACCCAGTTCCTTAGATCCCTGGCTTTCACTGGCCAGTTCTCCCATTTTCACCAGAGCATCAAAGTATCCTTTTGCTGCATATGTCACACCTAGAAATGGAAAGACACATATTGCTGTCAGAGGCCTGTTGACTCCAATGCTCCTTGAACAACTCTACTAAAGTAGGGCTTACTTAATGGGCTGAAATATTATATCACTCTTGATATTATAGTTTCTTAGTTTGGTATAGATTTTTTTTTTCATGTCAGGAGTGACTGGTGTGAGAGAATTGGCCATCTGCAAGGACATTGCCTAAGGGACGCCTGGATGTTTTTGATGTTTTATCATCCTTGTGGGAGGCTTCTCTCATGTCCCTGCATGGGGAGCTGAGGCTGACAGAGGGAGCCCATCCATGCTCTCTCTGGATGTGAACCTCTGACCTGTCGGTCTTCAGTTTAACCCATTGTGACACCGGGGGCTCCGGTATAGAAATAAAAAACAAGTTAACACAATTTTAAATAGTAAAAAATACTGGAACTAGACTAAACACATATTAAACGGGCTGACAATTTAAAAATGTTCACTCAGCTCCATTTAAAAAAATTAAAATTTTAAAAATAAAGCTTTGTGCATAAAAATGTTGGGCTATATCAGTTAGGTCAAAAGGCTTTAGTAAACAGTCATGTTTTTACTTGGTGTTTTAATAAAAACAATGTTGGTGCCTATCAGGCGACAATGGAGAGAACATCCAAAACAATGGCGCTACACCTGAAAAGACTCTTTCCCATGTCTTCCCACCATGGCCTAATTTATGGGACACAGAGTAGAATTTCTCAGTAGACCTGAGTCTACACAGAACAGCAAGATTTTGTCCATTTCCCCCTCTGCTTGTCCATTTTCTGAGTTAATTCAGTACAAACTACTTTTCTAAAATGACATTAAAAAGCAATGAGAATAAGGTAAAATATTAATAAAATGCAGGAAATAGCTCCAAAAAATGATTGGCAAGAAGAGAGAAATGTTGAAAGAAAAAGTCAACTTCACTCTTTAAAATCATACAGTTGTGTAAGGGTCCGTGAAATGCAGCACATCTGAAATATAATGCAGTATACACATATTTATGGTAGACAGAAGATGCAAACAAATGTGTTTCTGGGACTGGTTCCAAAATTGGTGTATTACATCAATCTAAGAGCTTAATATATTTTAGTGCAAACCAGCTTATAAACTGTGTTGATTTTAATGCCTTTTGGAATAAAAGGGCTATATTTTGTAACTAAGCAAATAAAATCAAGCGTGACTCCTGGGAAGAGTGCAGAGCAAAGAAGATGAGAAATACATATAGCTGTAGAAGTCTAGCTTTGAATGTTTAGCACACTCTGCAATTACACTTTCAACTATGTCTCTATGAGCATGAGGACTGGAAAAATAACTGGAAACTAGGGGGGGGGGGGGAACAGATGTACAGGCAGTCCCTAACTTACCAACAAGATATGGTATGCCCTGTAGATTGGTATGGAAGTAGAAAATGTATACATATTAGTTCTGGATAGCATACGGAAGGTTTAAAACTTCTGAAATATGTGTTTTGCTGTCTGTGTCCCTGTTCAGAAGACTTCACCTAACTTTCTATCACTGTGACAATTGCATTTTGAATTTTTTTGGTTGTTGTGGCAACAAAGAATGGTGATAAAGTTTCAGTGGAGACACCTTTTTTCCCATGATAACTCTTACAGGAGTGAATTTCCCTTCCTAGGGGTAGATTTCTTTTCATTTCCTGTTGTTTCACTCTCATTTGTAACTTTTTTTTGTCATGTCAGGAGTGACTTGAGAAACTGCAAGTCGCTTCTGGTATGAGAGAATTGGCCGTCTGCAAGGACGTTGCCCAGGAGACGCCTGGATGATTTGATGTTTTTATCATCCTTGTGGGAGGCTTCTCTCATGTCCCTGCATGAGGAGCTGGAGCTGATAGAGGGAGCTCTTCTGCCTCTCCCCGGATTTGAACCTGTGACCTGTTGGTCTTCAGTCCTGCTGACACAGGGATTTAACCCACTGCGCTACCGGGGTCTCCGGTGTAACTAGGAGTCAGATGTAAGTCAGATTTTTGTAACTCAGGGATTGCCTGTATAATGAAACTTTCAGTGCTCTAACATAAATCAGCACTATTGGGTCAATATGTTCAGCTTTTGTATTTGCGTTCATGTCTGGGAGACTGAAAGAGAGGAGACCACTTGATAACACTGAGATCGTGCTTCTCATTAGCAACTTCAGATCTGAACATTACAGATAATTTCGAGAAATGAATGATGAAAGATGCATTTCAGAAAAGCCACCATCAGGACAACCATTAAAAAAGTGGAAAGCTAGAGCAGAACATACTTCTTATAACCAGAGCATTGCATTAAAAATCTGGGTTCAAACATTGGAAGGATGTTCAAAAGAGCTTAGCCGATTTTTACAGAAAAGCAGAAGGGAGAACAAATCCAGCAAATGCTACGTTCAGCAAAGGACAAGAGGGATCCTCTCACCTCTGCAGGAGTCTACCGTATACCATGCAGCTCTGGACAAGTCTACATAGGGACCACCAAACGCAGCGCCCAAACACGAATCAAGGAACATGAAAGGCACTGCAGACTACTTCAACCAGAGAAGTCAGCCATAGCAGAGCACCTGATGAACCAACCTGGACACAGCATTTTATTTGAGAACACAAAATGCTGGACCACTCTCACAACCACCATGTCAGACTACACAGAGAAGCCATTGAAATACACAAACATGTGGACAATTTCAACAGAAAGGAGGAAACCATGAAAATGAACAAGATCTGGCTACCAGTATTAAAAAATTCTAAAATTGCAACAGCAAAAACAGCAGAGAGGAAACAGGCAGGGACATCTAATTACCTTTCAAGAAGAGTTTGCTCCAGGCACAGTCAGCCCATTGTATGCTAATCAAGGTGGTCAGTTGAAATATTCACACCTAGCCCAACTGACAAAAGTCCTTTGTCTCACCCTGGTCATTCCACAGATATATAAACCCTTTTCCCAGTTACCAAACAGACCTCACCTCTGAGGATGCTTGCCATAGATGCAGGCGAAACGTCAGGAGAAATGCCTCTAGAACATGGCCATATAGCCCGAAAAAACCCACAAGAACTTAGAAGGGAGAACATTGAGAAATTTGGAAGTATGGGCTTTGTATCATGCTCTGATGTGGTCTTATATCCCCACCTCCATGAATATTGGATGCAGCATTGTCAAAATGCAAAGATATCCAATGGATCTGAGTGACAATTTAAGTAAACAGGACATTCGCTACCTGAATTATGTCTTTGGGGAGGGGACCTAAAACCACGCATACATCCTTGACAACACTAGCTCACCCAAGCTCAAAAATGTAACGAAGCAACCAGATATCACTAACCTTGAAACAGAGTTCATAGAGTTTAGCTTGGTTTGTGGACATTCCAACTGTATAAACGCCACTTTGATCAGATAAGCAGGAAAGGAGTATGTTCCTCTTAATCACAAGAACTTTCTGCACAGTTCTTGTTTAGCAAAGCATTGCCTCTTTATAAAGTGTTATAGATTTAAATACCTGTGTTTCATAATTTCTTTGCTTGCATTTAAAATTCCAAGGCTCCACTGAAGTAGCCAGTTACAGGTGCATATTTTAAAGGTAACTTTCTCTGAAAGTAATGAAATGTGTGGTTTTACTTTTTCAAAACCCTCTGAATACTAAAAGCCATCAACCTGTGTTACAAAACATTTTCTCCTCCCCTTTAACTTGATGTTTCCTCAACACCCACAACACAGCATAAGGCAGCACCAGCATGAACCAGACAACACTTTTGTGAGGCTACAGTCTTGTAACTATAAAAGTATTTTAAACTTTTGCTTCTGTACCACCAAAGGAGTGACATTCCTTCTTAAGTTACCATTGCAATATAACTAATATAATATAGCAGCATGCTTGTTTTGGAAACAGTAAGGAATTAGAAGACTGTCATTTTAACTAGCTTCTTAAAAGCTCTTGTCCTTATCACCTACCCAGAGGACATGGCTGAGAATAACTGGGCCTGACTGTAAGTTCCATTATATGCCAAGTTCATATTCTGCAAGCCTTTTCTGTCAGAGCTTCTGAAGCAATTATTTATTCTAATAGAGTTGGGCAAGACAGAGAGGGTTCTTGTACCTTTAATTGCTGCATGGAAGAGGGAGTTCCGGCATGTGTTATTTGTTACTACCTGGTTGCATAAAAACAACATCTGATAAAATTCTACATGGCCACTAAAGATATAGGAGTACTCTCTAGTTTTCATTCTGCTATCCCAGTTGCTAAACATATCACACTAATTGCCATTGATTTAAATGTGTGCTGCACATTTTACTCCTCAAGATGTTTATCTCTTCAAATATACGATATTACATAGCAGATTGAAATTCATAATTCATCTGGTTGCACTTATTAGAACAGTAGCAACCATGTCTACAACTATCTGGATACGTAAGGGGAAGAAGATAAGGAAAACTAGTGCATATGTAGGCACAATCTAATTTTAACAAGCATTCCCGTCAATGTCTATATTATGCAAAACTAGGACAAGTGATTCGTCAGGGACAGGAACCAGAAAATAGTCACTATGCATAAGTGTTTGAATGTTCTGCTTCCATACAAAATACTTTCTGTGCAGGCAATATAGATTATCTTGTTCAAGAATGCACTCTTTTCCTGTATTTGGTTTTCAACTAGTGGAGAAGTTTCCCCATGCTAATTAGTGGTTTTTGAAAGCCTAACTGAAGCAAAAACTGTCAGAAAAGGCAGGTTTATTGGTGATAATAGAAACACCACAGATTACAGTATTTACAGAATTGCAGCTCCACAAAAACACAGAACAGGAGAGGGAGAGTGGGAAATGAGGAGATCCCAGAACGCTAAATGGTTTCTATTCTGATAATTCAACCCATGTTTCAGTTTCTATTTAATAGTGAAGCATGTGCATGAGCACATGACTCTAATTATCACCAAAATTTATGGGAATGGAATTAGACCCAGACCAGAATTTAGCAGAGTCCCACTCATACAGGAGATAGAAGGTATGGAGGAGAAGTTCTTGAGTCACTCCGTAGTTTTCTCTATGTTTCTTGGAAGCTATTTTGGAAGCTTCTCCTCCCCCCACACTTGCTTACTCCTCAGAAGCAGCATGGTAGGTGAGGACACAAAGGGAAGGGGTGAGATTGCTGGAAAAGATTGCTGGAGAAAGAGAAGCAATCAATTGTACAGGACCCTGGTGCATTCTGTTCACAAAATGGCCCTCCGAGATCCAACCCATCAGGCACAGACAGAACTTTGCACGCTAACAAAACCAATGGAGCAGAGTGCAGTCTTCCGGATTGTTGGCCAACAGGTTCAACAGTGATGAATTCTGAAAACTACAGTGAAACATCTAGCAAGTTGTGTACCACAACAATACAAGATGATTACACAGTATGCCATTCTTGTGAAAGTGCCTGTCAAACATTACATTGCTTTCTTTGATAAATTGTTTTTCTACAAATCTGGGGGAAGCCATTATAATCTAAATCCTGTCAAAATCACCACCTGATCTCCTTCTGGTGAACAGAATTGCCTGTATCAAAATATCAGCATTACTGTCATTGTTCATATTTTGAGAGGTTACTTGAATTATTCATATGGAAACATCCCCTTAACCAAGGATTTCCTGGACATCAATACATCAGCTTCTTTCAAATGCCAAGAAAGACCCAGAAGTGGATCACTTGAAACTGAAAAGGAAGTGCAGTCGCTGAGCATATAAAGGGTTCTCTCAATGCTCAGAAGTTATGGCCTCTCTTCCCTTCAGAAGGCATGGTTTTCAAGCCAGCATGCACAACCAGTTCCAACATTTCTGTTTATCAAGTAATCCTGGAGAGTGCAGTTTATCTCAAAGAGTATATTAAGAGACATTGTGCACAGAATGAGCTGAAGATGGTTCAAGGCAGGTTTCTATTAAGTGTCCATCAGAAGATGTGATACCCATGACTCTGGCTCAATCAGCACTGACCTTTTACAAAAAGGGAAACATCCCTGGGATGTTACATAATGTTACACTTTAAAAGAAAGATAAAGCCAGTGGGTGAAAGCCAACTAAGAGACCCTCAGGCTATCTGAAAAGATACACTTCCAGGAAACCCTTTCTCTAGCGTCAGCGAAGTTCATATACCAAGAAACATGAAAGGGAGGCTCAACAAAACCCTGTTTGCTACCTCAAGTCCCTGGGGGTGCCTGGGACCAAAGTAGTACAGGGTAGAAAGCTCAACAACAGCACAACAAAGTATCACTGGGGAAAGAAATGTATACAGCTGACCTCCCATTTCATCTGCCTCACAAACCTTGGATGAGACTATAGAAGCTTTCCAGGACCCAGCTAAGGCCAGCCAAAGCAGCCAAAGTTGCTTCATCCAGTAAATTCCATTCAGATCACAAACAAGACATTAATCTATTACTTTCATCCTGGCAACACATCTAAAGGTTAAAAATTACCCTTAGGTGCAAAGGGCATTTTGTTGTTGTTGTTGTATTTTATTTTGATCCTCAAAATTTAAATATACATTTAGTGCCAGGAAGGTTTCTGGCTCTCTGTCAGCATGGGAAGATCTCATTACAGGTGGATAGACTGAATCAAGAAGGCTATAACCCTGAGTTTGCAACACCTCAGCCATTAATGACAGGATGTCTATGAGGTTTCTCATTCATGGAATTGCCATAAATTGAAGTCAACATGATGGCAATTAGCAACCAGCATCTGAAATAGTGGATTATTTTGCAGCAAAGAGCCCGATAGCACCTTAAAGGCCCATGCATTTATCAAGAAATCAGCTTTGACACAAAAGAATCAATTATATCCTTTGAAGTAGGTCTTTCCAGTGAATGTTCTCGCTTCAACTGCCTTGCCAGCAGGCCTGTAGCCGGGTGAGGGGGGGGGGGGAGTTTAAAGGTTTGACTCTGTCCCCAAAATGTTTCAGGTTAAAAGAAACCTGGTTTATTCATGAATTGGTTAACCAGGCCTGTTTGCCAGCAGGTAGGCTGCTTAAAGTGCATTGAAATCAGCAGGATTTAAGTAGTCTAATTAAGCACAACCGTGGTCATCAATACATCTCGCTCAAGCCAAGGAGCCATATTAATTGCAATAGCTTACTCAAAGCCTACTTTAACTAAAACAGAACCATGCAATCCTGGGCATGCCTACACAATAGTAAACCCCACTGAGTTTCATTGGACTTACTCCCAGATTGTATGTGTTCAGTGGGCAAGATAGCAGTCCCACTCTAAGTATCATGGCACATTTTGTTTACAGAAGGAACCTATTCTGTAGAAGCTCAAGAGTAGATTTGTGCTGGAAAATTATTTATTATTTATTTACTTTATTTATATACCGCTTTTCTCAACCCTCAGGTGACTCAAAGCGGTGAACAACATTGATACAAAACATCACGAGACAAGTATAGGGCAATTAAAAACAATTGTAACATAAATCATTAAACATCCGTATAACAATCATTAGCGCCTCAACAGTAAAATCAGAATCCAGTCTCCTCATCCATTATTCCGTATTCCTATGTTCAATTATACTGTTTAATCAAATGCTTGTCACTAATTGTAAGGCTACCTGTTATGCATGTAAGGTCCCCAAAATCCATTTTTAATCGCATAGGGAAGAAAACCTGGAGAGGCTACTTAAAATGGGAAATCCCAAACTGTGTTTTTATAATCTAGTTGTCCATAAATCACTGGCTTATCCCTACAAAGAAGATGTTTCATCTCAAAAAAACCAAGCAGCTTGACTTGTTACAATCCTTAAAGCCTCATATATCAGAACTGATCATATGTTCATCACTTAATTCAAAAAGCTGCTTCACAACCTACGTTTGGTAACGCTTCAAAAATAATGTTGAAAACCCTATCTCAGCTACTACTGCACAGCACAGTTCCCATAGTTGTTACACTGCAGCTGTGAAAGCATGCACAACACAACTTCACTTACCTGCCAAGGCTTTTTCATAGTTCTTCCCCATGGAAATGAAGTTCCGGAGGCTAGGGTTGAATTGCTCCATGATAGTCTATGAAATAAACAAGCAAACAAGACATTAGCAATTAAAAGGAGTGTACAGAGAATGCCCCAAAATGTCCTTGCAGTCCTTATGTACACATGTATGAATACAAGAGAGGCTGACTCACACTCCTCTGCAGAATAAAAGCTTGGAAACCAAATCCTCCCACACACACACCTCACATAACAGCATGCCACACAGACAACACAAACTGAATTGGTGACGTTTTATAAGACAATGACATCTTTCAACAACTCGGCCCAGGATTGAAGCAAATAGCTAAATGCTACAAATTCCAGACACCACAAAGCTCCTGTGTAAGGACACTCTCTGCCAGGCCTAGAAATATGAAACTTGAACAAGTACAAAGAGGAAGATCAGAGGAAGTGGGATTAGAACAGTTGGTAGTGAGGAACAAACACTTCAGTCTCTGAACATTAATATCAGATGTTGAGAGCAACAGAAGTCTAACTTGGCCAGATAAAGAACTGCTTTAAGCAAATTTTAACAGTCTATTTCCTCCCAGCTTTTGCACGTCACAACACAGAGAACCAGATAACACTAAAATACTAGAACTATGATACTTGAAATGATGCCTACAGATTTAAGTGAAAATCAGTTAAATATATAGAACCTGACAGATTGCTAACAAGTACCAGAAGTGCATTTTGAAATGAGGAACAACAATTGAAGGACCTTCCTTTTATTTTATAGTCAGCATAAGTATCTAGTGATATACCACAGGCTGTCATCACAAACAAATTCATCATCTGTTCAAGCGCTTTAATTTTTTTAAAAAAAAACTTTCTTTACAGTACCAGGTGTCAGAACATAGATTTTCCACCCTGTTTGCATATATGTGTGTGTTTGTATTGCTACAGTCAGCCTTCCATATCCATGAATTCTGCCTCCATGGATTTAACAATCCATAGCTTCAATATATTTGAAAAACTCTGAAAAGGAAACCTTCATTTTGCCATTTAATATAAGGAACATCATTTTAATACATTTTACCATTGTATGTAATGGGACTTCAGCACCAACAGATTTCAGAATCCATGGCAGTTGAAGGAGGCAGGTCCCAGAGCCTAACCCCAGCAGATACCAAAGGCCTGTTGTACATGAGATAATCAATGCATTTTTTCCAGTTACATATTTATTCCAGGACCTTACTTTTGAAGCTGTTTTTATAAAGGAGGTTGTCTACTGGTTTTGCCCTGGCATATTGAGATATACTTGTCAAAGATAGGTGCCTATTCTGCCTTGGTCAGACCACACCTGGAATACTGTGTCCAACTCTGGGCACCACAATTGAAGCTGGAGTGTGTCCAGAGGAGGGTGACTAAACTGATCAAGGGTCTGGAGAACAAGTTCTATGAGGAGCGGTTTAAAGAGTGGGCCATGTTTAGCCTGCAGAATAGAAAGCTAAGAGGAGACGTGATGGCCATGTGAGGGGAAGTTATATGGAAGAGGGAGCAAGCTTGTTTTCTGCTGCCCTGGAACAATGGCTTCAAACTACAGGAAAGGAGATTCCACCTGAACATGAGGAAGAACTTCCTGGTGGTGAGAGCTGTTCAGCAGTGGAACTCTCTGCCCCAGAGAGTGGTGAAGGCTCCTTCTTTGGAGGCTTTTAAACAGAGGCTGGATGGCCATCTGTCAGGGGTTATTTGAATGTGATTTTCTTGCTTGGCAAGGAGTTGGACTGGATGGCCCATGAGGTCTCTTCCAACTCTAGGATTCTATGACTCTAGGGGGAATGAGATGGGAATGTTCACTATGAATGTGTTCATTACTGAAAATGCCAGTGTTAATATTAAAATGTTTTGAATAAAGTAAATGACTGTCATCTTGTTAGTGACAAAAGTGCATGTTTGTGTGACTTACGCTTGCATGTGTTTCTTTCTGGGTGAGTTTGTTCCTTTAAGAACAGGACTCTGATTTAAAAAACATCCAGGGATAGTTGTGTTGCCCAAAAATTCAACAAAATAAAATCCAGTATCCACAAATGAGTGACACCTTTATTGCCCAAACAAAATCCACAAACCACATTACGTGAGCTTACAAAGCTTTACTGGTTTATTAAACAAAAAAACATACATGAAATAAAAGAACAAAAAGTGGTATGTTGGAGTCACAGGCCTACATTTTGTATTAAACGTAGTCTGTGTTGTGTGGCTGCTTTGGAGGGATCTCAATGCTGGCAGAAGCCACTCTATCCATGGTCCTGTGGGGATGGAGACAAACGACAAGACAATCTAAACTCCATTGGAGGCAGTAAAGTAACTTCTGTTAGGATCCAGGGTGTCACCCTGTTGCTAGTGGAATTTAAATTTCTCTTTATCTCGGTCCCCACATGCCAAGAAGAACTGCCCTTTGCCCACATGGAGATCCCTCCAAACCAACTGAAGCACAAACAGAAACAACTTCAGATACAAAATGTAGGACTGTGACTCCAACACTGCCACCTATCTTCTTTCTCCCATATGATTATTAAATATCTTTTGCCTGATGAAGAAGCTAGTAGTATTCTGATAAAGGAACTCTTTCAAATTCATCATTGCTACTGGCCAGATAAAGGTGGGTTCAAATACACACATAGATCTCATGTTCTTAGTGTTCTCAGTCTCTTTCACCATAATCTCTCTGCCATGAAGAGCAATAGTGGTCACTCATCTCACAGCCAGGGCAAAAGCAGTTGACAATCTCCTTTATTTTAAAAAAAGCATGTGACTGGAGAAAAAAGCAGGTTCACACACACATTCACACCATACTGGGGTAAAATTTAATGGTTCTTAGAACAGTTAATATGTCCATTTTCATTTAAAACATTATTTACTTAGAGTACTCTAAAGAAAGACAGAAAAGGACAAAAAAAGGGACAGAACCAGCCATGGAATTTTAAAAAATCACCTTCTGCCCTCATTTAATGAAATGTGTGCTTTTACTGTTTTTCTAGCCCTCTATATCAACTATATGGCATATGGCTCTTTGTTAAGCCTGTAACAAGCTGTGATTGAGTTGTCCTGTCTGCCTTAGCGCCACAATCTAAAAAGTCATTCAATCGCTTTGTAACTATGGCACCTTTCCAACGAGACAAGGAATTGAACACCTGAGCTTTTCAGAACAACAATAAAATAGGGAATTGCTGGAAACTTCCCCTTGCTGTAAGCAAACCACAGTCTGAGAATTTCAAAAATTGGTCTGGTAGCAAAAACAACTGCAGTTTACAGTTCACAGCAATTTTATGTTAAAGTCTTTTGTGACCTGGTTCAAGGCTGCCCTCCTTTCCCCAAACTATAGCCAGAGTACCTCTAAAAAGCAATATTCTGTATTCAAACTGTATTCAGAGTCTGTCTCCTAACTTTTTAATGGCTTCACACACTGGTTTATTAACCAATGTCTAGATTAGAGATTAACAGAGTAGGCCATCTGTGGAGCATTTGTCCAGCTACTTATTAAGTTTTCTCCTCTCCCTTATCTTCCCTACTGCTAGAATGTTATCCTAGAAGACAAATGTGTAACCACCCAGGCCGTCAAAGAATAAATGGATCCATGGCCTGATAGTAATATTTGGTAGTTCTGCCACCCACTGGGGTGCACAGTTGCAACTTACTCTGGCTGCAGTATTATGCTCAGTGTTGTAACAGGATTAACTTGCAAGTCAACATGTATAAGATGGGGTGCAGGGGAAGTGAAGGGGAGCATTATCTTGATGAAAGTATGGTAGCCCAAACTCATTTAGCTCTTGCAGGAGCAAAACAGAGAATACATATATGATACCTTCAAGAGGTTATTAAAATTCTGAGCATCCATATTGCTTGACTAGCTCTGTTGTTTAAACCAAACAGAGAGAGAAGAGGGAAGAGCTGAAGACTGAACAGTCTGAAAAAGTTCTAGAATTTAGGAAAGAATTTTCATACAAGCATACTTAGAATTCAGTTAAGCATCTGGTATTCAGTTAAGCATCTGTCAGTCCAGCATCCAAGCACTAATTAGCACTCATCTTGCTTAGCTTCCAATATTAGAGGGATTCTGGTGCTTTCTGAGTATTTTATTCATGTCTATGACCACTACAGCTTGGCATGAGGAATCCTAGAAGCCAAAGTCTATCATCGTCTGGATGATCACCCTTGACTCATTTCTGCTGTGGGCAAATCCTCTGGAGAAACAGTGACAGAACAAGTGACACATCTTGACTCTGTTTCCCATAGCTATAATGGAAATGTTTACTTTGTTTCAATCATACTCCCATTAAACAAACACAGATGGAACATGCAAGCCTGCCCCCCTCCCCATATTTCTTTAATGCAGGACTGGGAAAGCCCATTTAGCCATTTGCCCCCATACAGTTCTGACTGCCCTGCAAGGGAGGTGGGAAAGAGGAGGAAAACAAGACTCTTCTGCTGAATAAGCTGATTAAACATCTGCCATCTCAACTGACGCTGGCCAAGCAACTGCAAAGCTCATTTTCTGCCTGAAGGATTTTTATTCCTTTGTTTCTGGATTCTGTTCTTTTGAGACCATGACGGCTGTAATTTATTTCCGTTAATGCAGCTCACTGCTAGCACTGAGAAGCAATGGCACATCTGCATTTCTGGAGTTCAAAACAGCAAGTTATTAATTTCAACATCCTCTTCTAGGCAGCATATCCAAGCTTGTAAATTTCAGTTGGATTTCTCAAAAAACTAGTTACTTTAGAAATTTCCTTTCAGTCCTCAGATTAATTCTGCAAAATGGCTTCAGTCTAATAGCCTTCATCCCTGGCTACTAAGTGAGCAGACATCTGAGTTAGTCAAGAGGACCACCCTGACTCGGTCTTGAGAACAAAGTAATGAACAGACTATTCAAATTTTCACGCATGGTATCTAACCTCCTTTTACAAAAGCCCATAACTTGTTGTGATATTCTGTATATTAGCTCACAGTATGAAACTGGATAACTGGGATCCCAGTGTCTCTTGGGCACACTGTCCTGAAAAAGATAGTGGGGTCCGGCAGTTACAATTGGAG